AGAGTATTTGCAGAGAATGCTGCTGGTTTGAGTGCACCTAGTGTGTCTTGCCCACTGACAAAGGCAGAGGATCCATTGTTCCTACCATCACCTCCAGCTAAACCTAAAATAATTGATTCTTCTAAAACATCAATAACTTTGTCTTGGAACAAGCCATTATTTGATGGTGGTTCTCCAGTTACAGGATATATGGTGGAATATAGGAAAACCAATGATGATGACTGGACACTTGGTGTTAGTAACACTAAGAGCACAGAGTTCACTGTGGTGGGACTCACTTCAGGAGCAGAGTATGTCTTTGTAGTCAGATCACTTAACAAAATTGGTCAAAGTGAGCCAAGTCCTGAAACTGATCCTCAGATAGCAAAAGACAGAGAAGATGAGCCAGTTTTCCTAATCAGTAATGAAATGAGGAAGACACTGATTGTCAAAGATGGCAGCTCATTTACACTTAGAGTCCCATTCAAGGGAAAGCCTGTACCAAATGTAATGTGGAACAAACCAGATGTTGATCTGAGAGTGAGGGCTGCTATTGATACAACCGATAACTGCACATCTATCACAATTGAGCAAGCTACAAGAGATGACTCAGGGAAATACACTGTAACCCTCCAAAATGTTGCTGGAACTTCTACACTGACATTGAGTGTAAAGGTCCTAGATTCTCCAGGCCCACCAGCCCACATTGAAATAAAGGAAGTCACCAAGAGCTCTGCAACTATTACATGGGATACTCCTGAGAATGAGGGTGGTGCTCCAGTCAAGAACTACCTTGTTGATCTTCGTGAGGCAACAAAAATGGGCTGGACCAGAATTACAGACAGTTGTCCCAGGTTGACTTTTAAAGTTAATGATCTTCAAGAAGGGGGTGTTTATTATTTCAGAGTTACCGGTGAAAATGAGTATGGTATAGGAGTCCCACTTGAGACCAAAGAAGGAACAAAGATTACAGGTAAAATAAAATTATTTTGTTGTATATTTTCTGTAGCACATTTATTTGATTAAATCAAATCTTTGACACATATTTTTTGTTTATGTGATACTTTAAATTTTTAGAAAAACCAAGTCCACCTCCCAAGCTTGGAGTCACTGATGTCACAAAAGACAGTGTCTCACTAGCATGGCTTAAACCAGAACATGACGGAGGTAGCAGAATTACAAATTACCTGGTTGAGGCTCTTGAAAAAGGACAACAAAAATGGATAAAGTGTGGTTCCACCAAATCAACTCACTTTGTTGTCTATGGATTGAGAGAAAATGCTGAATACTACTTCAGAGTTCGAGCTGAAAACCATGCTGGACTTAGCGACCCCAAGGACATGGTTTTA